ACACGGGAACCCCTCTCTCCTCCCTGCGCCCCCGGCCCGGAGCCCTCAGGCTCCTCACGGCCCTCGGGCGGGCCCCGCCATCCCCCGAGGGGAACGCGCACGGGGAGGCGGGAACGAGCAGCTTGGTCAGGGCTGAGGAACGATCACACGTCTGTCTTCACTGCACCAAAAAAAAAAAAAAAAATCTCGGGTTTTACTAGTCTCTGTCACTCTTTATCCCTTTGAAATGTTGGGCATTAGCTTAAATTTCAGAGTTGCTTCTGTAGCAATGGTAAAAGTAGGGGAGGTGGAAGGAGCGATTCATGGAGGTTCCTCCAGATGTTTCACGGCTGTGGAGCACCACGGAAGCCCTGCCTCGTGCTGCTGCCTGTACTGGTGTTTGGAAGAAAACCTAATTAATCTTAACTAGAAAACTCACCCAAATACAGTGATTTTTGATGGCATGCTTTTCCATGGATTCAGCTATATTGAAGCGTGGGGGAATCTGTAGCCAATAAATAAACAATGCACCAAATGTGGGAAACCAGCCCGGTTTTGGCCACAATGACTCTGTGCCTTCGATATTGTCACTCTGCCGTGGGAATGCTGAACTAATTAGTCTAGCAGCCCCCACATCTACAGGTACTTGAAAAATATCTACCTGCTTACATATTTTTTTTCTTCTAATGGTGAACACACACCTTTTTTTTCCAGAGCAGTTAACTGGTCTATACAGAAGATATCAGGAAGCCAAGCAGGCGATTGCCTGAGCTGTTTATTTTTATGTAAGTCTTTTATGTAGATGGGAGACTACACAAACAAAATGGATATACTAGTAAAGTAATCTTCAAGTGTTCAACAGCAGTCAGTAGGACTTACTACTTGAAGGACAAAAGCTGTACTTAGGTTCTATTGAAATCGCCTATTCTTGACAGATTTTCTTAAGGGTGGAGGGAGTAGTAAGACTTTTGATGAAAAACAGCTGAAATTATTCCCTTTTAAACAGGGAACAATTGGTGCGTGGAAGAAATGGGACAATTGATTTTTTAATTTAAAAGATTTAAAAATTGTATTGCTCTAACAATGGGAATCCAGCAGCCTTGAAAAGAAGTTATTTTCAAGAATCATCTGCAACTATCCTATAAACTGTCTTTAAGAGCTATTTAAATAGCTTTTAATACAAGCATTATGTAAAGGTCTGCCTCAAAAATGAGTTTGTCTCCAAATAACAGCTTCATGGCAAAAGGAATAAAGAAAGGAGGGGTGGAGAGGGTACAGTAAAGGGAAGATATGGTTTTAATTGGCTTTTGATATGCAGGCAAATATGAAGCTGGAAGTAGTGACAGAATCCAGTCTTCATACCCACAGGCTGTGATGTCAGTTATTTCATTTTTCTCAGGTTTATTAGGAGATGAGTACATGCCTAAGAATGCCATATGGGAGGGACACTGTTGGCTATAGGTTCTCCAGGAAGCTTTGGGGCCTTAGATAGAGCTGCAGTATTGACAGATGGGCAGCCTAAATCAAATTACTCCTCTGGACTGAGACAGTGCAGTAGATACAGACACATCCTCTAGCCCAACGCCAGACTTCCCTATGCCTGTGTTACTGGTGTGGGGCTCAGAACCCACCTGCCCTGGCATTCTGAGCAGCTGCTGAGGGTTTTCACCTACTCACCTGCTGACAGACTCTTCCGCCACAGGCCATTATGGAGCAGTAGCACATTTCCAAGAAGCTCACCTAGGACTGCCTGCCCAGGGATTTTGGCTCCATAGAGAAAGCTCTTCATCTGGACTCAATGGAACGTACACAATCTTTGCCAGCAATTGGGGATGAAACTAAGAGTGAGTTTCCATCTCTCTTGGTCGTTTCTTCCTCTATTCATTTCCCTCTCCTCATTGCTGCCCCAGCACTACTCTTCCAGTCCTGTATTTCAGTATCTGAAACTTTTTAAGTCTTTGTGCTACCAGACTGTTTATCTTCTTTACAGAGCTCCCAGTACCCCAAATTATCTTTGTATCAAGAGGCATTCCT